ATCCTAACAGTCTGTGGATTCTTTATGACTTTTAATGCATACAATCATGTCATTAAAAAAATAACCATATTTATTTATTTAGTTGGTTGTTCTGGGTCTTCGTTGCTGTGAGGTCTTTCCCTAGTTGCCTCAGTTAGGGGCTACTTTCTAATTGTGTGGGTGGGCTTCTCACTGTGGTGGCTTCTCTCCTTGCAGAGCATGGGCTCCAGGGCAGTCTGGCTTGGGTAGGTGAGCTACTCCCGGGCTGTACAGCACAGGCTCAAGAGCTGTGGCACACAGGCTTAGCTGCTCTGAGGCCTGTGGGATCCTCCCAGATCAGGGGTCAAAACTGTGTCTCCTGCATTGGCAGGTGGATTCTTTACCACTGAGCGACCAGGGAAGCCCCATTGTCATTTTTTTTTTTTTTTACAAAGACCTCTTATTTCATCCCTTCCAATTACTGTGCCTTTTTTCTTTGCTTTATTCCACTACTTAGAACCTGCAGTAAAACACTGAAATGAAATAGTATAAGTGGGCATTCTTGTCTTACTCTTGATCACTGGAGAAAAGTTTTAAGTAATTTTCCGCTAAGTATAATGTTTATTGTAAATTTTTAAATACTTTCTGAAAGTTCCCTTCTGTTTTCAGTCTGCTAACAATTATGTGTGTTGAATTTTATCAAGTTCTTTTTCTGTATTCATTGAGGTAATCGTATGGTTTTTCTTTTTTACCTATTAATGTGATGAATTATATTGATAGATTTTAAATATTAAATTGATTTATATTCCCTGAATAAGTTTTCTCATACTTTATTATTTCTATTTTATATATTTCTGAATTTTATTTGTTGATATTTTGTTTAGAATTTTTCCATCTGTGTTTTTAATAGAGATTGGTCTCTAATTTTCTTTCCTTATGATGTCCTATTCAGATTTGGATGCCATAATTCACTGGAGTCATTCTGGTACCCAAATAATCTGGGAAATATTTTCTGTTTTTTTCTATCTTCCAAAAGATTTTGTATAAGTTGGTATTAGTTGTTCCATGAGTGTTTAGGAGAATTCACTAGTGTTAACTGAAGTGGCAAAGTTTTTAATAACAAGTTTAATTTACTTAATAGATAGAACTAAGCAGATTTCTTCCTGTTTCAGTTTTAGTAAATTGTGTATTTAAAAGATGTTTTCCATTTTACGTAAATTGACACATTTATTGGCATATGGTTGTTCGTAATATCCTTTTTTATTTTTTAACGTCTGTAGGATTGGTAATGATGTTCCTTTTTTCATCCCTGATATTTATGATCGATGTTTTCTTTCTTTTTAAAATTAATCTTAGTAGTCTTAGTAAGAGTCTTTAATTCCATTAATCATGACAGAGAACCAACTTTAAGTTTGTTAATCTTCTTGGTTATATACTTCTAAAAATAGTTTTATTTAGTTTTGGCTGTGCTGGGTCTTTGTTGCTGCATGGGCTTTTCTCCAGTTGCTACAGGTGGGGACTACTTTCTAGTTGCAGTACACGTGCTTCTCATTGTGGCAGCTTCTCTTGTTGAAGAGCACAGGTTCTAGGGCCTGTGGGCTTCAGTAGTTGTGGCTCCTTGGGCTCTAGAGCACAAATTCAATAGTTGTGGCACATGGGCTTAGTTGCCCCATGGCATGTGGGATCTTCCTGGACCAGGGATTGAACCTGTGTCTCTGGCATTGGCAAATGGATTCTTCACCACTGAGCTACCAGGGAAGCCCTTCTTGGTTGTATATTTATCAGCATTGTATTTATGTTTATATATATAATACATGCATTATATTTTCCTTCTTTATTTGTTCTTTTTCTAACTTCTTCAGATGAAAGCTTACTGTTTTTTAACCTTTCTTATCTAACATATTCATTTAAAGTTTTAAAATTTCTCTGTAAATTCTGTTTTGATATATCTTAATTTTCAGCCAGCTCAAAATATATGGAAATTTCTTCTACAATTTCTTCTTTCTACTCATGGATTATATTATTTGCTTTTGAAGCATTTGGGGATTTCTGGATAAATTTTTGTTTCTAACTTCATTTCTTTAAAAAATTTTAGAAAATTGCTTTGTGACCTAGAATATGGATAATTTTGATATATGCCATATGCATATAAAAAGAATATGTACTTTCCCATGTACTATGTATGTTAGTTTATTCAAATATGATTATTTTGGTGTTCAGATTTTTAATATTCTGTTTTTGTGTGTCTTTTATCAGTGGTTGAGTTAATTGTTAATACATCCTCCCCTATGACTGTGGACTGTCTGTTTCTTATGTTCTTTCAATTTAAGTTTTTATATTTTGTAGTTTTCTTATGGAGATATATTTAGTCTTATAACTGACATATATTTGGTATATTTTATCCATTTATCATTATGAAATATCTCTCCTTATCTGTAGTAATGCATCTTTCCTTAAAAAGTTTCCTTTATGTGAATATATCTACACTTGATTAGTTTGGTTAATATTTGTATCTTTTTCTATTTTTAAAACTTTCAACCTTTCTGTGATAATACACACACACAGGTATGTGACAGCATATAGCTGAATTTTTCTTAAACCTATTCTGACAATTTTGTTTGTTTAACTGGATTATTTAATCTAATAGCAATTAATGTAATATTTGATATCTATCCATTTATATTTACCATTTAAATTTTTTTTCTGTTTGCTCTTAAAGTTGTTTTCTTCTTTTGGATAATTTAGATATTTCTTATTTTTTCCCTCAATTCATTTTAAAATTACTCTTATGATTATTCTAAAGATTACAACATGCATCTTTAATCTACAAGCATCTAATACAAATTATTTCAGTTTACTACTCTCATAATTAGAATCTTAGAAATCCTTAACTCTGTTTATATCACCTGCCTTTTACATCATTATCATGAATTAAAATTTTATATATACTTTAAATCCCTTAAGAAACTATTATTCCTACCTTTATTAATCAATAAATAACAATTTATAGTTACTGTTATTCTTGTTCATTTCTTCCTACAAATCTGTGATTCCTCCAGGACTGTTTTCCTTCTTCCTATTGAATCCACTAAAAGTATTTACTTTTGTGCAGATGGGACTGTGATTGATTCTTGCAGTTTTTGTTTGTTTTAGAACTTTATTTTTGCAAGATGTGTTTTCTGGTGATAGAATTCTAGTTTGGTAGCTAATTTTTTTCAGGACTCAAAAGACATCATTCCTTTGTCTTTTGGCTTCTTGATGGTCAGCTCTCCATCTTACTGTTACTCCAATATTGTAAAGTAATTAGCCTCCAACTAATAAAAATAAATAAAAAAAAATAAAAGCAATGCCATTTTCATGTGATTGCTTTTAAGATTTTCTCTTTGACTTTAGCAGTCTTCCTCTGATATTTCTAGATGTGCAGTTTTTTGTTCTTCTAATTAGGTTCACTGAACATCTTGAGGGGTAAATTTGTTCACCATTATTGGTCATCATTTCTTTACACATTCCTTATTCCCCATTCCTAGTCCTTCCAGGATTACAATCATGTATGTGTTGGAGTTTTTCATTATGTTCTACATGTAACTAAATGTTCTTACCTGTATTTTAAATTATTTTATTCCTCAGTGCTTCTATTTGGATATTTAATATTGACCTGTCTTGCATTCACTAATCTTACAATCTTTTATGACAACTATGCCATAGTAATATTTAATATTACTAAATTAATCTAATATTTAATATTACTAAAATTTAAGTATTATATTTTTCAGTCCCCAAATTATTTTCTATTTTATTTCATTCTGTGGTGAAATTCTCTTTACCTATTTTCTATATTCCTTATTTTAACATATTAGTTATATTTATTTTAACATCATTGTCAGTAAATTCTGGTATCTATTTTATCTGTAGATCATCTATATATCTGTTTTTTCCTCTAGGTTTTATTCATGTCAACCAGTTTTTTTGTATGTATGCCTTGTAATTTTTATCAAATGTTGATTATTAATGTAAAAAGCTCTTCTCCAGGGCCCTGATGATATTATATTCTTCCAAAAAGAGTCCATCTTTTCCTTTGTTAGCTTGACAGTGTGTGCTGAGTAGCTTCAGTCATATTTGATTCTTTGAGACTCTATGGACTGTAGCCCGCTAGGCTCCTCTGTCCATGGGATTCTCCAGGCAAGAATTCTGGAGTGGGTTGTGATACCCTCCTTCAGAGGATCTTCCCAACCCAGGGACTGAACCAGAGTCTCTTAAGTCTCCTGCACTGGTAGGCGGGCTCTTTACCACTAGTGCCACTGGGAATCCCCTTTAGATTGATAGAAACATGTCTAATCAAATTGCCTTAATTCAAAACAGGCACTGTGCTTAGTCAAGATTCTTCCCAGTCCTAATAAGTACCTGGCCCTCCAGAATTTTCAGTTCGGAACTCTGTATTCTCTAGTCTCTCAGAGGGCAGATCACAAACCCCAATCTCATGTATTAAGACTATTAAAATTTCACTCGGCTTTTCAGTAATTTTCCACTTAATATTTTGGTCTTCTTTCCTGGAATGTCCCATAATTTGACAAATATCATGAGGGGGGAAAACTGGCCATGAGCTTGAATCATCCAGTTTGCCAAAGACTGCTGAAGTTACTCTATCCCTGGCCTTTTCTTAAGCTTTGCAAACTTCTTTAGGGCAAATTGACTGCTGGAGTCAGTTCACAGTTCCAAGGATTTTCCTTTTCAGGAATCTTAGCCCCTTCAGTTCTTTATATATCATCTGCAGTCTGCTGCTTCAAACTGATAATTTCTGAATTTAAAGCAGGTTTAAATAATCCATCTTATCTGGAAACAGAATTCTACCAAATAAGACTGTTTAAAATCTATATTTTGTAATTTTAATAGTAAGAAATGTTATTTGCTGTGTCCCATTCTTTTGTGACCCCATGGACTGTAGCCTACCAGGCTCCTCTGTCTATGGGATTTCTCAGGCAAGAATACTGGAGTGGGTTGCCATTTCCTTTTCTAGGGTATCTTCCGGACCCAGGGATCAAACCCTCATCTCCTGCATTGGCAGGTGGGTTCTTTACTGCTGAGCCACTAGAGAAATCCAGTAAGAAATACAAGGTCTTAACAGTGATGTGGGTTATATAGCCTTCAGTAAAATGTCTGCCCCTAAAACAGCATGTATTAAACTCAGTATATACTGTGCATAAAAACAACAAAGGAATTGTAAAAAATGTCAAAATATAATAGAAGTACTTGAGAAACTGTGATTCAAATGGGTATTATTATCCAGTTATTTGGCCTCCATTCTCTATTTTTGTTTTGCAGAAAAGAATTGTCCAATTTTTCATAAGGTATTCACTTTGTGGAAATTATCTGGATTATATTTACTATTAAATTATAATCACTGAATTTTAAAATGTTAACCTGTTCTATCCTAGAGTCTGATAGTGATCCTGAACTGGTAAGGAATGATCTATGCTTAATGAATACACACAGCAATTTATAAGGTAATACACAAAGTAATTCATAAATTTACTCATATAAATTCATAAACGTAGGTTCTGAGTGTTTATTTGGCCAGTCTCATTTGGGTTATTATAAAAGTTGGGCTTTCCTGGCATGCACAAAAACATGAAGTTATACTTTTATAATGTTGAAACTTATTGCTGAAAACTTCAATCATATTTCTTGTCCTCATACATAAAACTATTTAAATATCTAATGTTAAATGGTGAACTCATTAAAGCTGGCTACTAAATTTCATATATTTGATTTTGTTCATACTTTTATTACTTTCTAATTTCAAGTATTAGATTGGATGAAAGCTAAAAGCTATGTTTTAATAATAACTTAAAGAATAATTTTTCTTTTTTGTTATATTTTTTAAAATGTAATTCAGGGAAACATGAAATAATTAAATTCCAGTAGGATGACACTTGAGATTTAAAAATAAATACTTAGGTTATAAAGCAAACTCTAATTACTCATATTGTGCCAAAAGTTCAATAAGTGGTCTTATAGGTATAGCTATATAAATTTAGTTAGAAATCACAAATCATCTTAATTGGCCTAATGAGCACAACATAAGACAATTATAATTCAGATAAGTTTATTTCTTAATCTCTATTTCTATTCTTATTGTCTTAAAGGAAAAAACAATGCTTATTATTGGAAAGTTAGCATAATTGAAAAAGTAAATTTATGCAAAATACACAAAAGCTACATTGAAAAACAAAAGGTAATTTGGACATCAAAAATAAATCATCATTTTGTTGATAAAAGCTGCTCATGTTTACAAAATAACAGAGTAATCAGACTAGAACACAATCAATAAAACTCAAGAGAAATTATGCCTTTTTTGAAGGATATGGAAAAACTGTATGAGAGCCAAGAAAAACACATACTTTATACTTACATTTGAACTTCTGTTAACAGGGCAAAAGAAGGACAGGGAAGTATATGATGCCCTCTACCTCTTGAGTCCTTCTAAAGGATTTAGGGTTTACTTAAAGTTCTAAGATTTTTAAGTATGTTATCATGCAGTGAATTAGTTTTATTTTAGTGAAGTGAATTTGATACCAAATTATATAAGATTTTCTCTTATTTATAAATAAGAATATTTTTATTTTAATATTAGTATTCCTGAAGCAATTACAATGTGCTAGGTACGTAGCAAATGAATAATCTCTAGCATATATAGTACTCAGAATGGGATAAGGTCACAATTGTGTATTAATAATTTAATAAAGTGCATGTTTAGGTGCAACTTACCAGAAACAAGTATACCAAGTTATATGCTCATGGCTATTTAGTGGGGCACAGCCTGGTAGAATGGTGAACAGGAAGCTCTAGGTACCTACAAAGAATTTCTAACACTCTACCCTTGCAAATGTAAGTAACACTCTGCCCTTGCAAATGTAAGTAAAGAAAAGCACCAAAAACATACAGAAATTCAAGATTACGCAAAAGCTTTAAAGTATTTCCTTAAAAAGACATTAAAAGAGGTTGATTTAAATGTTAATGGAATTTCTTTTACGGCTTCAGTAATTTATAGTTATGAAAACATTAATCACCAAGCGAAGGTAAAATAGGAAGAAATAATATCAACTGTAACTAAAAATGCTAAATCCAATGAATACTATAAAAGGAACATTTAGTAGAGACATGCATAAGTTTGGAACAGAGATATACAAATTTATGGAACAGGACAATCTCTTAAGAGGAAAATATTGCAATGTGAGTTAGGCTTAACAAAATTGAGAGGCTCACTTAACCAAATAACGGCATTTAACTGAATACAAAGCTGTTTCTACAGTTGGGGCTTTCCTTGATTTCTTTCTCAGTGTCCTGAACCAAGAGGTTAGGGAATATTGGCTTCAGGAATTTGAACTCACCAGTTCTATGGTCCCCCGTCAGACACACCTCGTACTGGTAGCTCTGCGACAGGGTCCCCGTGCCGCTGACGTCCACCAGGTGGCCCGGGAAGTGGCCCTCGGGCACCGGGCAGCGACCCGCCGAGCCCGCCCCGCCCCTCCTGCACAGCCGCACCGCCACGAACACCAGCACCGAGAAGACGAAGAGCGACGACACCGACGCCAAGGCCACCACCAGGTAGACGGTGAGCGGGTCGGCCGGCGCCGCGGCCGCCGCTTCCGCTTCCGGGGGCGGCAGGTAGGGCTGCGAGAAGCCGTCCACCAGCAGCACGTGCAGCGTGACGCTGGCCGACAGCGGCGGCTCGCCGTTGTCCTTGACCAGCACCACCAGCCGCTGCTTGGGCGCGTCGCGCTCGCTCAGCAGCCGCGCCGTGCGCACCTCGCCGTTGTGCGCCCACACGCCGAACAGCCCGGGCTCCGTGGCCTTGAGCAGCTGGTACGACAGCCAGGCGTTCTGGCCCGCGTCGCCGTCCACCGCCACCACCTTGGTCACCAGGTAGCCGGGCTCGGCCGCCCTGGGCACCAGCTCGGTGCAGGGCGCCGAGGCGTTCTGCAGCGGGTAGAGCACGAAGGGCGCGTTGTCGTTGGCGTCCTCCACGAGCACGCGCACCAGCGCCTGGCTGCTGAGCGCGGGCGAGCCGCGGTCGGCGGCGCCCACGCGGAACTCGAAGGCCCGCAGGGCCTCGTAGTCCAGGGACGTGAGGGCGAAGAGGTGGCCGTTGTCGGGGTTGATGGACACGAGGGAGGCGAGGGCTACGTGTGGGTCGGGCGGCGGCAGCAGCGAGTAGGTGACCTGGGCGTTGGCGCCCGCGTCTGTGTCTGTGGCGCTGACGCTGCCGATGTGCAGGGCGGGGCTGTTGTTCTCGCGGACCCACAGGGTGTAGGAGGTCTGGGTGAAGGCGGGGGCGTTGTCGTTGACGTCGGACACCAGCACGGTTATGTTGTGCTCGGTTTTCAGTCTGGGGGTTCCCATGTCAGTGACCGTGATCGTGATGTTGTACTCGGCTTGATTTTCTCTGTCAAGAGGGCTATCGGTTACCAGGGTGTAGAAATTCTTGAAAGTCGGTCTTAGAATAAATGGCAGATTGTCTGGAATGGAGCAAATCATCTTTCCATTGTCTCCGGAGTCTCTATCTCGAATTCGGAAGATAGAGACTACGGTCTCCGGGGCATTTTCTGGGATGGAGCTGATGAGTGAAGATATGGTAAGTTCAGGGGCATTGTCATTCACATCTACCACCTCTATGACTACAGTGCCTTTCCCAGAAAGGCCTCCTCCATCTGTAGCCTCAGTTTCCACGTGGTAGGATTTGATTTGTTCAAAATCCAATTTCTTTGTCAGTCGGATTTCTCCTGTGACTTCATTTATTGAGAAAGTTTGTTTAATTTCCTCTGAGGCTTGGAACAAGCTATAGGAAACAGTCCCAAAGCTTCCAGCATCTACATCCCTAGCTAAAACTGTAAGTATTAGGGAATCTAGGGGGCTGTTTTCCAGAACCTGCACCTCATATGGAGTGTGCACAAACTCGGGAGCATTGTCATTGACGTCCAAGATCAGGATTCGCACCATGCTGGTCCCGGACCTAGGTGGAGACCCACCATCCAGCGCCATTAGGGTTAAGCTGAACTCTGACTGCTCCTCTCGATCCAGCACTTTGTCCTGCACCAAATCTGGATATTTCTTGCCATCACTATGATTTCGCGTGAGAACGTGAAAATGAGAATTGGCGTTGATAGTGTATTTTTGAAGACCGTTGCTACCCACATCCAAATCCTGAGCTAATTTCAACGGAAATACAGTCCCTGGCTGGCTGTTTTCCGGTATTTTCAAAAGCATTTCCCTATTCGGGAATACTGGGGAGTGGTCATTTAAGTCCTGTATTAATAATTCTCCTTCAAAAAATTGCACTGGAGTTTCTAGGAACACTTGGAAATGCAGCACACAGGGTTCAACGGAGCCACATATGTCTTCCCGGTCTAGTTTCTCCCTCAGAAGCAAATCTCCAGTCTGACGATCCAGCAGCAAGCGCTGCTTGTCATCGTCACAAACCACCCGAGCCGACCGGGCGTTCAGCTCCCCAATTCCCAGGCCCAGGTCCTTGGTTAAATGGGCTATAAAGGAGCCGCTCTCTGTTTCTTCCAGAACAGAATAACGAATAGGCGCAGGGCTAGCCTGAGACAAGAATACCGTCAAAATAAAGGTGGTCACTTGCCTGTTGGGTTGGCTTCTCTCTAGCGTCTCCATGTTGGAGCCAGGGTACTTATATCCAGTCCCCCTTCAGCAACCAGAAAAAGGCCAGAGGTGTTCAATTTTCTTGCTTGGTAGAATCCTCACAGAGTTACTTGTAATCTTAAATTCGCTTAGAATATCGCTGCCCAAATTCGTTGGTAGCCCAGTACTGCTGGCAGAGCTTCTTGTGGTGGTGGTTCCGTCTTGCAGCAAAGGAATACGCGAGCTTTCTAGGACTCTTTATTCACAATCTTAGCCGGCAGCGCCACCCTGCGTCCTGATTGATAAACTAACATTCTTAACTCAGCCTGTTTTGGAAGTGTCGATCCAAACTAAGCCTTTTCAAAACGTTTAAAGGACTTTTTCAAGTATTATTCCATTAAATGGCTTAATGTATAGGTTATTCCATTACATTGCGTGAGCTATAATAATTGTGAGCACAAAGCTAGGGACTGTCTCCATCTGCCCACACCCTTTACAGTAGAACATAAAGAACTCCATTTACCCTTTGCCATAATCTAACCAGGGGAGATAAACTCTTATAAAATTACAATCCATAATAGTTATATCTGTTTGTTTCCAAGTATGTGAGAAATTTATGATGATGCAGAAAGTTTGTTAAAGTGCTCTGTACCACCTGGTCTTAGGGAGACTTTTTCAAAGGAAAGGTTCTATTTTTTTACACTGGTGTGCAAATAATAATACAGTTGAATAAAGTGGCATCTTGCCTTATTACAAGTCCTTTTACAGTGTGAACCCACATTAAAATATTGGGGAGGTCAGATAGTATTAGAAACAGATTCTTAGATGCAGAAAGAAAATGAAAGGATTTTTATAGATAAACAGAAACTCAGAGGATAAGGACTATTATCAGGATAATATCAAGTCAAAATTGAGTAAGTGAAAATCATAGAATTTTATTAAGAAAAGGGCTTTAAGAAAGATAAAGACCATTACAGTATACTAACACATATATATGGACTTTAGAAAGATGGTAATGATAACCCTATATGCAAAACAGAAAAAGAGACTCAGATGTATAGAACAGACTTGTGGACTCTGGGAGAAGGCGAGGGTGGGATGTTTCAAGAGAACAGCATCGAAACATGTATATTATCTAGGGTGAAACAGATCACCAGCCCAGGTTGGGTGCATGAGACAAGTGCTCGGGCCTGGTGCACTGGGAAGACCCAGAGGGATCGGGTGGAGAGGGAGGTGGGAGGGGGGATCGGGATGGGGAACACATGTAAATCCATGGCTGATTCATGTCAATGTATGGCAAAAACCACTACAATATTGTAAAGTAATTAGCCTCCAACTAATAAAAATAAATGGAAAAAAAACAGTAAAAAAAAAAAGAAAAAGGCTTTAAGCTGATTTAGCTCAATAGATATCTGAAACTTAGGAGTTTCCTTCTCACCACGCTGACCCTTTGTTTCCTAGATATCATATTCCTTGACTACCCAATTTGCAGAAGACAGGGAGCTATGATTTGAAACATTTTAATCTGTGAACAAAGGGTGCCTCAAGCTTTGTCTACTCATATGTGGTGAAGAGGAAAGACTTGTTTATCAAATGGATTTCAGCTCAGTGTACAACCATCCTGATTTCTCTGATACAGTAAGTTAACTGAGAAACAATTAACCAGTTTACTAGTTACAATTAGTACATGGAATGGAGTACCATTTATTTGGGATTTCTCCTCCTTAAATATCTTGTAATTTCAGTTCATAAATTACAATTCACATTGAATGCATTATTTTAAAAGTATGTCAGTAATCTTAAGTTTTTTTTCATTTATTTTTATTAGTTGGAGGCTAATTACTTTACAATATTGTAGTGGTTTTTGCCATACATTGACATGAATATGATAGAAAGTATTAGGGAAATAAATATTTTTGGCTGCACCACATGCATGCAGCATCTTAGTTCCCCAACCATGGATTGAATCCATGCCTCATGCTGTGGAAATGTTGAGTCTTAACCACTGGACTGCCAGGAAAGTTCCAGGAAAAATTATTTTTGAAAGAAACCTGGACAATAGTAGTTATTCAGTAAATGTCAATTGGGTAAATTAATTAATCAACTCTAATCATTGTGTTTCTACCTATATTAGGTTATTGTCACATCATGCATTCAGTCATGAACATGTCTGACACTGAAAACAGAATTCTTAGAGATGAGAGTATAATATGTGCTAAGCACTGCTCAACTAAATTTACATTTTTCTAGTTCTGTTAATTCCAATTGTAAGAGATATAGCAATAATAACTATTATACTATTAATATAGTTTAGAATTTTCTTCCACATTTAGGGCAAATCAGAGAAATATATATCCACATTGTTGTTGTTCTTCAGTCACTAAGTCATGTCCAACTCTTTGCAACCCCATGGACTACAGCATGCCAGGCTTCCCTGTCCTTCACTATCTCCCAAAGTTTGCTCAAATTCATGTCCATATCAACATGAAGTGAAAAGAAAAAAAATAAACATACAGCAAAAAAGAATATTCTTTTAGATATAAATGGAAAGCAAATTTCCTGAACAAAACAAAAAATTGTTTTATACTATAGTAGGACACGACTGAAGTGACTTAGCAGCAGTAGCAGCAGAGTTTTAGTTCGATTCAAGTTAAAGAGTTCAGGACAAAATTCAAACTAGATTTTGTTTACTTATTCCTACATGTTGACATAGAAATAGTGTTGCAAATGAGCTATTTTTGGTTCCTTTTGTCAATTCAACACAAATGAAACTTAGGTAATATTAACATCTATGTGTTACTACATGTCAGATAGTATTCTACATATTTTATATCCATTAACTCATTTTATCCCTCAAACAGCCCCATAAGGTGGGCACTCTTACTAGGCATATTTTATAGAAATTGAAGATACAGAAACTTAGTAACCTTCCCATAGTCATACACTGTTTGAACTGGCAGCACTAGGATTCAAATTGCTACAGTATGGCTCCAGAATCCATCCTGTGATCTACCTACGTGGAATTGGAGAAGTGAACAATTTTTTATATAATTTAGATCCAGACTTCAGCCTTGCCTTGGGTAGATGGATATCATAGGTGAAATATATCTGTATTCAGATTTTCAGTTAATATTCAAATCTTTTAAATGGTCTTCTCCTTTGAGAGATAGGTATCAGCAAAAAGAGGTGCTTACAAAACTTAGAAATTTTAAAGGAATCTAAGAGTGCTTTGTTGAGATCATTAATTAGATTTAAAAAAACTAAGAATGACATGAATAATGAATTCCTTGTAGCCTTAAATGGAAAAATACTTATTCACAGGTCTTTTGAAATGTTATCCGAGTGTAAGGTTAAAATCAAGAAAGGTGGTCTAAGATGACAGTCTAGCATTGAATCATGGATTATTTTGCTAAACTTAATCAGAAAAAAACTATTATATATGCATGGAAGAGGCATTAATGATAAAGAGAATGATCACCTTCAAAACCATTCCAGTCGGGAAAGCTGCATTAACCATTCTGAAGGATTCATACAACTTAACACAATTGGTTGCCTGACCTGGAGCACAATATTTAAAACATTTTTTCCCATTCTGAATACACAAAGAGAGATAGAAGAGTTAGAGGGATACTCTGGTAATTAAATACCAGTTTTAACTCCTCCATTGTAAAACACAGGCAGGAACTTTTAAATATCATTGAGGCAAAGATAAAAATCATTTTAAAGGAATTTGAATACAAAAAGTCCTAAAGTTCAAATGCTTAACACAAACTTTGAAGTTTTGAATAGTTTCACTTATTTTTTTTAAATGAGGGAATGTATTTTAAACTTTATGACTTGAGGACTGTTTTGTTTGTAAATTGAAGGGGTAAAGCACAGAGGTATATTAAACATTAATTGTTGAGAGGAGAGATAAATTGGTGAAATAGATATTTTAACTAGTAATTTTAGTTACTAAAATCACACTTCAAATAGTATGCAGTTCAGTCCAGTCACTCAGTTCAGTTCAGTCAGCCCATGGACTGCAGCACACCAGGCTTCCCAGTACATCACCAACTCCTGGAGCATGCTCAAACTCATATTCATGGAATCAGTGATGACATCCAACCATCTCATCCTCTGTCATCCCCTTTCTCCTCCTGCCTTCAATCTTTCCCAGCATCAGGGTCTTTTCCAGTGAGTCAGTTCTTTGTATCATGTGGCCAAAGTACTGGAGCTTCAGCTTCAGCATTATTCCTTCCATTGAATATTTAGGATGATTTCCTTTAGGATTGACCAGTTCGATCTCTTTGCAGTCCAAAGGACTCTCAAGAGTCTTCTCCAACACCACAGTTAGAAAGCATCAGTTCTTTGGCACTCGGCTTTCTTTATGTGCCAGCTCCATACATGACTCACATCTATACATGACTACTGGAAAAACCATAGCTTTGACTAGATGGACCTTTGTTGGCAAAGTAACGTCTCAGCTTTTTTATATGCTGTCTAGGTTGGTCATAGCTTTTCTTCCAAGGAGGAAACATCCTTTACTTTCATGACTGAAGTCACCATCTGCAGTGATTTTGGAGCCCAAGAAATTAAAGTCTCTCACTGTTTCCACTGTTTCCCCATCTATTTGCCTTGAAGCGATGGGACCAGATGCCATGACCTTCATTATTTGAATGTTGAGTTTTAGGCCAGCTTTTTTACTCTCCTCTTTGACTTTCATCAAGAGACTCTGTAGTTCCTCTTCAATTTCTGCCATAAGGGTGGTGTCATCTGCATATTTGAGGTTATTGATATTTTTCCCAGCAATCTTGATTCTGGCTTGTGCTTTATCCAGCCTTGGATTTCACATGATGTACTCTGCATATATGTTAAATAAGCAGGGTGTGACAATATACAGCCTTGACATACTACTTTCCCAATTTTGAACTAGTCCATTGTTCCACGTCCAGTTCTGTTGCTTCTTGACCTGCACACAGATTTCTTAGGAGGCAGGTAAGGTGGTCTAGTATTCCCATCTCTTTAAGAGTTTTCCAGAGTTTGTTGTGATCTATACAAAGGCTTTGGCGTAGTCAATAAAGCAGATATTTTTCTGGAACTCTCGTGCTCTTTCCATGATACGACAGATGTTGGCAGTTTGATCTCTGGTTCCTCTGCCTTTTCTAAAACCAGCTTGAACATCTGGAAGTTCTCTGTTCACATCATGTACTGTTGAAGCCTAGTTTGAAGAATTTTGAGCATTACTTTGCTAGCATGTGAGATGAGTGCAATTGTGCAGTAGTTTGAACATTCTTTGGCATTGCCTTTGAGATTGGAATGAAAACTGACATTTTCCAGTCCTGTGGCCACTGCTGAGTTTTCCAAATTTGCTGGCATATTCCGTGCAGCACTTTCACATCATCATCTTTTAGGATTTGAAATAGCTCTACTGGAATTCTGTCACCTCCACTAGCTTTGTTCATAGTGATGCTTCCTAAGGCCCATTTGACTTCACACTCTAGGATGTCTGGCTGTAGGTGAGTGATGATCACACCCGTGGTTATCTGGGTCATTAAGATCTTTTTTGTTTAGTTCTTCTGTGTATTCTTGCCACCTCTTCTTAATATCTTCTGCTTCTGTTAGGTCCATACTGTTTCTGTCCTTTATTGTGCCCATCTTTGCATGAAATGTTCCCTTGTTACCTCTCATTTTCTTGAAGAGATCTCTAGTCTTTCCCATTCTATTGTTTTCCTCTATTTCTTTGCATTTATCACTTAGGAAGTCTTAATTGTTTGTCCTTGCTATTCTTTGGAACTCTACATTTAGGTGGGTATCTTTCCTTTTCTCCTTTGCCTTTTTTTGCTCTTCTTTTCTCAGCTATTTCTAAGGCCTCCTTAGACAACCATTTTGCCCTTTGCATTTCTTTTTCTTGGGGATGGTTTTGATCACCACCTCCTGTACAATGTTACAAACCTCCATCCATAGTTCTTCAGGCACTCGGTCTGT